CCCTGTTCTTTAAATGTTTTGCACTAATCCTGATACCAATACACTGATACTTATGCAACAGCATAAGTGAGGACATTCTGATCCGTCATGAGACATTAAGCACCTTCTGAAGATGACAAGTGGAATCTCTCTCACAGTGGTATATTGGTGCCAGAGATCTTCATTCTCATCTAAGCCAACAAATACCTCAATTGGCATCTATGTAAACACCTGTGACAGACTGCATGACTTCATTTAGCTGTTTAGTTGACAAAACCATGTTATTCCAGAATAGAATCTAGACTGTGTGCTGGCTCCTTTATGGACCTTTTCCAGAAAATGCACTCCAATCAGCAGGTAGTTGTAGCATGGATTTACACAAACTCTTTTCTGCCCAAGGAAAACACTCTGGAAAACATCCTTCGAGGCAGGTAGGCCAAAGCAGCATAGTTGTAACATTATGTGTTGCATGTGAAGTTGAGAGTTTTTCTGTCTGAGGTTCATATAGCAAGTGTAGTAGGTGTTCTTAAGATCAATTAGTGAGCTTAGAAATTGGTGCTACACTGGAATTTAGGTTATGTATCCTGAACTGTGGTGTCCACAGGAATCTGTTTATGAATGTCCAGTCAAATACTCCACAGTCTTTGGCATGTTTGAGCACTGGAACAACAACTGGCTAGAGCCCTAACCCTTTTTGTGCCCTGGGAAATCAATTACCCTAGGTTGAAGTCGATGGTGTTTTAGTCTTCATATTCTGAAGTTTCAATTAGAGGAAGAGGAAAATGCCAATAATCCCAGGTTTGGAGTAACATTTAGTTTTAAAGTGTAGGCCAGGCTTCATTCCCATTTCTTCCCACGTTTCCTTTTTTAGAAAGGCTTATCCTAAGAGAGGTTTCAGGCTACTTTTCAGAAAACTGATTCTGAGTTTCCTCCTGTGTAGGCTCTAGGTCCAAGTCTGGAAAAAGCTGCTCAGGCTCTCAAAAAGACAAATGAGTTTCCTCTGCATTTTGCACCTTTAGAGCCTTTTTACTCTAGGAAGAATTGTATTGTGGCAAACTAGGAAAAGGGAGAGATGGAGGAAGAGAGAGTCCCTCAATGGCTTTCTCATAATTATACTGGGAAAACAGAGTTAGAAATTTCCTTTGTAGAGGAGTGACTCCTGTGGTCAGAATCTTGATACCTTTAACCTTTCCTTCAGTCTTCCTCAGATTTATAGGAAGAAAACAAGATTAATTAGCCTCTCAGGGTCCAAACAATGAGCATATTTTGATCTTCTATAAGGTTCCCCCCCTTTATTTGTAGGACAGAAGGATACTATCTCTAAATAGGGCGGGACTGAAGGGAGAACTTTTCTGTCATGCTAGAAAAGTAAGTGTACCACTTACTGAAAAGATCACTCCTAAGATGATCCCTGAGTGGTCTCCTTTAACTTTATAGCTGCTCTCAAACTCTTCCTCAGGAAAGGGCAGGGAAATTTTCACATGGCACCGCCATGCTGACTCACTGAATCCTACAGAGAGGCAGGAAAAGCTAAAAGAGGGTTGTGTCACAGACTGAAACAGTCAGAAATAAGTGGTAAGCTAAGAGGCCTTTTATTGCAGGCTTTTTTTTTCAAGTGGTCTCCTTTAACTTTATAGCTGCTCTCAAACTCTTCCTCAGGAAAGGGCAGGGAAATTTTCACATGGCACCGCCATGCTGACTCACTGAATCCTACAGAGAGGCAGGAAAAGCTAAAAGAGGGTTGTGTCACAGACTGAAACAGTCAGAAATAAGTGGTAAGCTAAGAGGCCTTTTATTGCAGGCTTTTTTTTTCACTTCATACCTCCAGGGCTGGCTGTGTGGAGAAAACTAAGAAAGCATTAGGGCTTGGGTCAACCCACAGCAAGCAGGGTTATGTTGCCTGGGGACTTTTGCACCTCTTTCTGCCAACTTCTTTCTCTGCTGCCTGTAAGGCGTTCCTGCCAGAACAGCCTGCCCAGACATGCTACACTAGAAGCTGCTGCAGCCAGATACCTCAGTATCAGAAAGGGACTTCTGGCAATCTTGCTGCAGAACTCCTGCACTGCTAAATAACTGCCCTACAACGTTTAGAATCCAATAAACTGATTGTTGAAATAAAAAGAATCCCCTACTGATTGTTTTATTTTCTTGTTCCTTGGAGTAGAAGAACTGGTTATGGCTCCCTGCAGTTGAAGGAGACTAGCAGGGTCTTCAGGGATGTGGCCATCCCCAGCCTGCCTTCAATGACAGGTGTGGCTCTGCCGCCAAGTAAACACAGGTAGGAGTAAGATCTATTTTAAAAGATATGAAAATTTTCTCTGCAAAAAGAATGTGTGTTTTAGGTGTTTTTAATGCAATAAATAAATGTTTCCCTTTTTTGGAAAATCAATCACAGCAAGCTAGATCCATCACTGATGTAAATCAGTCTAGCTCCAGTGAAGTGATCTGAGCTACCTTGATTTATACGAGGTAAGAATCTGGCCCACTGTCTCTATTTTCACTCTCCCCTTCTCCATCTATTTCTCACCAAGAGCAAGTGCCATCATTTTTAACCAGCCAATTCTGAGGATCCATTGTAATCTATGGCTACAGTTTTTAAACCTTTACTGTGTCAAAGCCATGAGAAGTCTTTTAGACAGATAGAATGCAATTGTTGAAAATGGAATTTAGCCAGAAAACCATGAACTAACCATGTCTAATTCTTGAAAGACTGCCAGGAGTATCTTGCCATTTGATCATGACCACAGGTGTTCAGGTCCTTGTTTTAGGTAAAATACACATGACAACTACAATAGCATAGATAGAGGCTACCACCATATGTGGTTATTGGTTCAGTACTGACTCTATAAAGACAGCTCCCTAGCACTTCCTACATATCCAGTCTATTGAATTAGAGGTAGTTATTTCAATAGCCTCCGTTTAGCCCGTCATAAGACGGGATTTTCAGGTCTTTCCTCCACCTTGGTCTTCTCTCCTGAGCCTCCGGTCTCTCGTACCGTCTCTCTCTCTCTCTCCTCCTACTGCCTCCCCCTCTCTGTCTCAGCTCTCCTTCGCCTCCTGCCTCTCTCGCCTTCTGCCTCTCTCTCTGTCTCTTTCTTTCTCTTCTCCCTCCCCTGCCTCTCACTCTCCCTTTCTCTTCTCCTCCTCCTCCTGCCTCTCCCTCCCGTCCATCTATCCCCACCCCCCTTCCCCTTTCCCTCCCGCCATGGCACTCGGCTGAGGGCTGCCTGCACCCCTCTCCCGCCAGCTCTGCTTCCCACCCCCCCCTCCTCCCCACCAGCGCCC